TCCCCCAAATCTCTGGGGAGTCCGATTCATTCAACATGTTCACATTCTAGTTTCATTTCCATTTTCTATAATAAGAGATGAAGATGTAATATGTCAATGTTGATGTATCAGAGAGATGATGAATTCCAGGCTAAAACACAGCGACATCTGCTTGGAAACGAGATGGAAGAAATTAAGATGCTTACCATGATTATTTTCCTCCCGAGCAAATTTATAGTATCTTTGGTCTCAAGGGCAGAAATTCCAGACAGATTAGCTTTTCATCTCCTAGGTAACTCTCTGAACTGCATAGCTATAGAAATTCATTGCTTTAACACTGGGTGTCCTTATTAGGGAAATATCTTAAATTCTGTGCCAACAAAGAAACTCATTGACTACTAAGCAATAGTCCTGAAAATATTTATGACATGGATTACAAACAGGTGCTCCAAACAGAACAAAAGCTGGGGTTATTCACCACTTGGACTAACTGGGAAAATTATTTACACCTAGCACAGTACATTTTATGCTTTTAGTGCATATTTTTTCTGGGCTATATGTCCTCATATTCTAGGGATGGTAAATTTGCTTAAGTACCAGAGGGAACTGGTGAATGTAAATAGAGCTATATAAATAATAGGTGCTAGAGCACTAGAATTGCCTGTACTATCTATACTAATTCATAAATTATTCAGCTAAAATGTATCCAGTCTCTACTACATGCCTGTGTTCAGCACTGGAGATGCAAAGATAAATACAGTATGATCACTGCCTAGTTCAAAATTTCAAACATCTTAGGAAGCTGTGCAGGCATAAGCATGTCCATTTCATAGATGAGGAAGCTGAGGCTGGGGGAGGTCACATATCAGTAATTACCAAAGTCAAGACTGGTACTCCAACCTTTTTTATTTAAGCTCAACACTCTGCCCACTCCCTTACACACTGGCATGATTAAGATGAGCCCTAAAGGGGGTTTGGATGACCCAAGGGCAACCATTCACAGTGTCTGAGGACGTCAAAGCTGGCTTTTGACCCAGTATTAACCTCCCAATACATTCCATTTGCACTTTTTTATCCAGGTGCTTAGCACCATGTAGATATACCTGTGGTCTCAATCAAGACTAAGCAATACTCTGCAGGAAATACCGAAATGCTCATTGAAAAACTATTCTCTTCTAATTGCATTTTGAAATGATCCAGTAGGGTAAAGGGTTTGGACATTTTTGAAGCAGTTTCTCTCCGAATTTAAGCAACAAGAGTTGTAAAATGTTCCCCAAAATGTTGCTTGGCATGAAAACCTCTTTCAATGCAAATGAGCCATTGATAAAAGGAATTTGTTAAGAGAGACAGGAGTTGGGGGGAAGCTCATGAGCCACTTGGTTGGCAGGGAAGCGCAGCTGCCAGAGGAGACGGATGGTAGATGGACGTCGTGGGTGCGTGTGGGCTGAACATGCGGGCCGTTCGCAGCCAGTAAGGGGAAGGAGGGCATGGTTAACCCACTAGGTACAACTTACCCGGTTTTTTTAAATACTGGCAGAATCAGTATGTGGCTACTCTAAGATAACCATGGTGAAATGGAATCAGCACAACAAAATGGAAATGATTTGGGGGTCAGAAAAACCTAGATTTGAGGATTCCCTCACCTATTAGATGTGTGACTCTGGGCAATATTTGAATTTCTCTGAGTTTGCATTTCCTCATCTCCAAAATGAAGACAATCAATCCTACCTCATAGGATAAATATGATGAAGAATTTGAAAGCACTTATTAAATTATTAAACAGTATATACATCCAAGTTTTCCTTTTCTGTTTACAAAAAAATTCAAATTCAGATCCAGTGAATATCTCTCTATGTGCAAATATTATTCTTCACTAATACACTCTGTCTCCCAGCCGCCCTGGCCTTGGTCATACTTGCTCTGGATATTTCCTATGACTACATTCAGAGTGCCTTCTGTGGATACCTCCTAAGGCTTCAGTTCTGTGGTCACAGGCCTGAAAGTGTTACATCTCTAATTTGGGAAAGCAAGGCCTGTGATTAGTCTTCTAAGCACAATTATACCAAAGGCCACACACAGACTACGTTCAAATGTCTGATGGCCATCTTGAGTTTGACTCTTGATTTCTAAGCTCTCCATCTTTTGTTCCTTCACCATTTCCTATAATCTCAGTAAATAGCAACTCCATTCACTCAGTTGTTCAGCTCAACTCTTCTGTCTACTCCCCATTAATGTCCAATCCATCCCTTAGAAGTACTGTCACTTCTATCTTGAAATACATCATGAATACAACCTTTTGTTGCCTCCCCACCAGTGCCACCCTACTCCAATCCACAAATTTCTCTTGTCTGGAATACTGTCAGTCTTCACTGGTCTTTCCACCCTTACCTCTTTACAGTCTATTATTCTTGTAGCAACCAGAACAATGCTTAAAAGATATAACTTAGGCCAATCAAGAGACCTTCAATAGTTTCCTATCTCATTCAGAATATGGATGAAACCTTAACCATGGCCTACAAGACCCCTGCTGAGCTGATCTGTCTTCCCACTGCCTCTCAACCTCATTTCATTCCATCTACTCACTCAATCCTGCCACTCTGGTGCTCTAGGCCATCAATTACCCTCTTGCTTCAGGAAAAATTGTGCTTGTCATTCCCCTTGCATGGACCACTTTTATACCAGATATTCACATTTCATTTCTCCACATTACCCAAGATTCTGCAACAAACATCATTTCTTCAGAGAAATGATCTCCTGGTCTCCTGATCACTTCTGATGTTTGTTATTCTTGGCACTGACATATCATGTTATGTTATACATATTATATTATGCAACACCATTTTGTATTATATTATTGTTTACTGTTTGTCTCTCTACTGGTATATAAGCCCCACAGGGGCAGGCACTTGATCTCTTTCATTTGTTGTATCTCCAGCATTTAGATTAAATCCTCTCTTGTAGATGTTTTCAGTGGCTTTATGACACATCCTTGAACCTACCAGGAGACCAGAACTGCCTTACAGCTGGGGAAACACTTAATCCAGCTTGGTTGACAGGATAATCAAGGGTTTAGAGAGAACCATGTATCAACCAAAAGGTATTCTGCCTGGAGCTGAGGAATAAGGAGCGATAAAAGAGCACAGAAGTCCCAGCTAACAGGAATTAAATTACTTGCCCAAAGTTACAGACAGAATATATTCAATAAAAAACTGAGATATGAACCGAAGGGATTCAGAACATGCCACTCCAAAATATGCATTTTGGCATACTGATTATTTTGAGCTAAAGGCACATGCCAGAAGGGTTCTCTGACCTCCCCTCTGTGACATGAAAATGGGTTATAAAACTTCCCATAAGCAAGGTGACCTCCCTGCACCAGGAAGAGAACATTCTTATCACCAGGTAAGTTGACACCAAAATGGATCTGTACAAACAAATCTACTAAAATAATCCCTATATTCCATTAGTTTCCCCAATATATTTCCTAGTCACTTTTCCACGATCCTCCGCCCCTACAAATTTAAATGCCTTTTCCTTTGTCTTATCACTCTTCTACAAATTTATCATTCTTTGTTTAAAAGGGTATGAGTTCTCAGTCCTAAGAGCTTCTTAGCACCTCCAGAGGTCCAACTCAGCTACATCTGGGGGCTACTGCAGAAAGGTTCATTCAGGTTAAATGCATTAGGGAGGCAGCACTGCTTCCCTCGTAGCTCAGTCGGTAAAGAATCTGTCTGCAATGCAGGAGACCCGGGTTCGATTCCTGGGCTGGGAACATCCCCCAGAGAAGGAAGTGGGGAAGGCTCCCATACATGTAAAAGTATTTTTTCTTATGAAGGCTTCCATATACATGTAAAAATATTAAATACAATTTGTATGCTTTTCTCCTGTTAACCTATTTCATGACAGTTTAATTCTCAGGTCCAGTCACAGAACCTAAGAGGATAAAGGAGAAATGCATCTCCTATGAAACAAGACTGTAAACAAACCATGGTGGTAGTTCAGTTGCTAAGTCTGTCTTGCTAAGTCTGACTCTTGCAACCCCACGGACTGTAGCCTGCCAGGCTCCCCTGTCAGTGGGATTTTCCAGGTAAGAATACTGGAGTGGGTTGCCATTTCCTTCTCCAGGGGATGTTCCTAACCCAGGAGTGGAACCCGGGTCTCCTGCATTGCAGACAGATTCTTTACCGACTGAGCTACGAGGGAAGCAGTGCTGCCTCCCTAATGCATTTAACCTGAATGAACCTTTCTGCAGTAGCCCCCAGATGTAGTTGAGTTGGACCTCTGAGTCAGCTCCTGGAGTGTGAAAGGACGTCACAGAATTTCTAGAGCTGATAGCCAGGAACATCGAGCCAGGCCCTCAGTGGCCTTCCAGGAACCTCTGGTGGCTAGTCGCTCTGACACTCAGGAAGCTGTGAGAGGCAGAGCCTCCTCTCAGACCCTAGGAGGGTCTCCCAATGAAGACTTCAGCCTATTGGTCCAGCCTGAACTGGTATCATGGAATTCACCCAGAGAAAAGGTGAACTTTAGCTTGATTAATGATTGTGAAACTCATTGGGTTTCGGTTCCTAGGGACTGGTTCTTTCCTCTAATTCTCTTGAAATCTCTCAGCTATGGAAGCTGGTCACCAGGAAAATGTTTGTAAATATCCCTCTAGGGGGCTGTCCTCTGTGCTGGAGACAATGCCCTGACTCTAGAGTCTTACCAGATCCTCTGAAGTCTGCAGAGGAGATGGGCCAATGTTTGTCCACATATCTAAGGAAGGAGACATTTTCAAGCAGGTACCACTCAGCCTTGATAAAGGCACTTCTGCCCTGTCTCGTGAGAGGCTGGTCCAGTCCCTTCTGTATCTCCCAAATTCTAGTGCACTCTGAAGTGAACTGTCTTCACCAGCAACAGAACAAGTGAACATCCTTATCATGACATTTTGATCCCATACAAATATCAGTTCTTACAATCTCCAAAATTCTCTCACCATGCTCTGCACAGGCATTACTGATAACCAAAGTTATTCTTCTCTCCAGAGCCTGCTGAGAGAGAAAGCTATTTTGCTGAAGATTGTTTCTTTGACATTCACGCTCCAACAAGGATAGTCTCTTCTGGGCCTAATTTGACTTCTTTATGTGCCAAGAGGAAACTTTCCATCTGAAGGGCAGGCATTCAGATAACTGAAGAGCCTTTAGGAGGTACTTTATAATTTCCTTGAATTTCCTAGAATGTTTGGAGAATAATGTGTATTGATTAGGTGTCTCTTTCAAAATGTTTAATATTTTCCTATCCTTTTTTTTTTCAAAGGGAATTAACAGTGAAGAGATAAATTTAAAAGAATATACTGACTCACTCATCCATGTTTTCTGACTAAAAGGGGTGTGAGTTAAAATTCCACGAAATATAACGGAGTCCATGCAAGGACACTGGAAGCCAAGCAGTTACTCCTGGTAAATTTGGAACTGAGGTTGTGAAAATCAGAGAGATGGCAGTGACTCCTGGAGACCATGTCACAATCTGAATCGGATGCCAGGATGGCCAGCATGACTAAATGACGACTTCGGGAGTTGAGGGTGAGATGGGGGACGTGCAGCCTTCAGCTGCTCAGCACGAAGGGAAGTGGGAGACCTGATCATGCCACAGACCTTGTGCGCGTCATTCACCATACAAGTGTATGACGCTCCTGGGGCAATGTTCTCATAGAGAATTCTGCTTCCAACCAATGAGCTGGCACACAGACACAATTACAGCTGTGACCGCTGATGTCACATAATAGTAAAACAAGCATATTGGAGGGTTTTTTTGGTTGTTGTTTTTTTTTTAAACTATAGTGCCCTATTTTCAGGGCTTCTGAATTTTTGTTTTTCTTTCAGCCTAGGCCTTACCTTGTCACCTCAGGGGATTGACATTTTAGCATAGCAAAGGCCACCCACTCATGACACATCAATGAGCCATGGCTGAAGCTTTGCTAGTGGAAGGAAAGAACATCAGATTTAGAGATAGGATACCTGGGCTATATTCCTGATTGCTGCAGCTAGCTGCACAACTTTGCACAAATCACCTAATTTTCTTAGGACTGTTGCTTCATCTATAGAAAGCAAAACCTGGAAAATTTAAAGGACTAATCTTATGAAGGAGGTATTATCATCTCCTTGTTACAGGTTGAGAAAACTGTGGCCATGAAATTAATAAGGAAAAGAACCAAGGCAATGTAAGATTTTTCAGATTATGTTTTCAGTATCTGTCTACACAATGATTTCCTGAGCTGCTCTTGATCATGAAGGAAGAGGAGTGACCAGGAAGGGATGTTAGCAGAGAGGGGAAAGAATGGCAGTGAAGCTATGCTTAAGTACTGACTCAAGTTCACCCATGCTCTTGTCCCACAGAGATACCAGTCCCTAAGTCTCTGAGTACCAACACAAGTGGACGTGTTGCACAAGTAGAAACAAAGGCCTGGAATCTTACTTTAAATTCATTTTACATTTAATGCAGTTAATGCACAGTACGGTAAAAGTTTCACATTAAACTTCTTCCACTGAGCCCAGTTTTAAGTGTGAGGTGGCAAAAAATAACAGCTCCTGAAACCATTCTCTCTTTTTTTCAAGGTGTCCTTTAGGGAAGTTGGAGTTACAGCAAAGGAAGTAAAACAGAACCTTTGCTTTGGTGTTCTTTCCGGCTTTCCTGTAGCCCTCAGGCCCACTCTCAGTGCCAGCTATAGCCCCACCTCCTTTCCTCTGACAAGTCTTAGCTGCAGCCTCATCTCTCCAGGGAAGCCTTCCCTGGCTGTCTCCAGAGTCAAGCGACCTCTTCACCCTTCCCCCTCAAAGCACTAGGAACCTCTCCTCCTCAGCATATCACATGCTTGTCCTTGTTCCATTAAATTTGGGTAATTATTGGTTAAGTGTCTGTCTTCCCGAGAGACTCTGAGCTTCCTGAAGACAGTGACTGTGCCAGCTTTGTTCACCTCTAAGCCCACAGAGTCAAGGGCAGTGCCCGGCACAAGGCGGTAGGTGTTGGCCGAGCCACACCCGCGTTAGTTTCCCCTTCCTCCCCAGGGTCTGAGTCACTTACCACCGAGAGCTATTTGCAGAGCACACACGACGTGTGGCATGGCGTGGAGCGAGGTGGAACCCGGGGACTCATCTCCGCTCCCGAGGGAGCTGGCGCTGAGCCAAGAGGCAGCCACCGCCATGGCACCTCGGAAACAATACGGCATCTTGGAGTCAGGACAGCCTGCTGCGAACTTCATTTCCCCCATCTGTAAAACAAGAATATAAACACCTCAGACGCTGACCTCACGGAGTTGTTCTGAGATCACATGAGCAAACACTGAAAGAGGTCTCTATGTAGTGCCGCGTCTCGCTGTGAATGTCCGGTTTTCATAAGCAGCATGAGGAGTGGGTGGCTCTTCTTAACCCCTACAGCAGAGCTCTCTCGTGGCTCCTGTTAGCACACCCTCCTCTCCAAGATCCCCCCAGCTGAGTGGGCCCAGCGCTCTCATTTCACAGATGGGAAGACTGCAGCCCAGACTGGGGAAGGGACCTGCCCCAAATCTCACATGGAGTCAGAGGCAGGGCCAGGACTAGAACCTGGGCATCTGGTGTCCTCTCCACCCATTCACCCTGGGCTGTCTCCCTCCTATGTCTCCTTGAGTCAGTTTCCATACCCCGAGATGGCTCCTGCTGTCCCTTCTGAAGCCATTCCTACCCTCACTACACAGGCTTCAGATACACAAAGGTGCTGGCTCAGTTGTTTGTTAAATATGAGCTTAGTTGGATGAATAGTTGTCAGAGGTTCTAAAATATTTTGGCATGGGCCTGCTTGGTCCCTTAACACCCCTCCCATTTTCAATTCATTATTTTAAGGAGGCACCTTCCCAGCATCCCCTCTTACTCTCTCCCTGTAAAAATGAACATATTTTTCCTCTATAGAAGAAAATTTTAGATTCATTCCATGCTGGGGGAGAGAAGAGGCTAGCAGATCAAAGCCCACATCTGTGGAGCTGAGGTCGGAACAGGAGGGGACCATAAATGAGGAAGGGTAAATAGTGTGACAACTATGGCAACAGTGGTGATAGCGCCCATCACTGCACTTTCTATAGCAGTGCTGTGCTGAGCCCTTAGCCTGTTATCTTAGTTCTAACAACAGGCAATAAAAGGGTACACTGTGTATCCTCCAAAATTCATGTCCACTTGGAATCTCAGAATGTGATCTTATTGGGAAATAGGGCCCTTATAGACGTAATTAGCTAAGATGAGGTCATGCTGTAAAAGAAAAGAAGATGGAGACCCAGACACACAGGAAGAACCATATGTGCCCACGGAGGCAGAGCTTGGAGTGATCCATCTACAAGCCAAGGAATGCCAAAGATTTCTGGCACCTACCAGAAGCTGGGAAGAGGCAAGGGAAAATGCTTCCTGAGGGCCGTTGGAGACAGAGTCAGGGTTGCTAACACCTTGATTTTGTATTGCTAGCCTCCAGAACTGAGAGAGAATACACTGCTGTTGTTTTAAGCCATCTAATTTGTGGTAGTTTGTTATAGAAGCCATAGAAAAGGAATAGAGGAAGTATTAAAACTCCCATAACCTAGATAAAGTCAGAAAGTGTTTCAAACCCAGCATCTTTGAACTTGATAATAACAAAAGAAGGAAGCTGGGGGATTCCTGTGATTAGTCTCCATCTTATGGACTAGGCATCTGAGGCCGGAGATGTAAGATAAAATAGTCATGTAACAGTGAGCATTACAGTTGAGATATCCATTTCAAGTTAGGCCCAGAGAGATACTCCCCTCAAAATACAAATTCCCTTCCTATTGCCCATCCTTCTCTCCCTCCTCCAAATAGAGGGAGAAGATCCTGTCCCTTCCCCAGCATCATTGTGGGCAGGGCAGACCTCAAAAAAACCATGAGCTCTCAGGCTCCTCCAGCCCCTCAACCAGGCCTGTTTCTAGGTGTCAGGCCAACTCTTCTTAGATCTAACTTCCTAATTCTGATGTGCAGGGAATATAATCCAAAAATTCACAGATATTTGGTAAACTAAGAACATAGTCTCGATCTAATAAGACAAAATTGGACTATATTTGAAAAAGTAGAGTGCAGTCAGCTTGTTATTTGGCCTTGAATGTAAAAACACTTCAACTAAAGTGGTTTCTCCTTGTCATTAATTCTCCTAAAGAGAAATTTACCTAAAAGTCATCTCCCTTAAAGTGTTTTGAAAATTAGATGAGAGTAAAATGAGGATGTTAAAATGAAATTAAGCAATTGTTTTAGGGGGCAAGATTTTAGTTAACAGACCCGGAGCCGTGAATGTCAAGTTCTAACTATTCTAGAAGTTACGGGAGAGATCATCAAAGGGTTCGGGGTCAGGAGTGATGCGTGCTCTGGAAAGGTTAACTGTGCAGCCGTGAGCAGGATGGGCTGGGGAAGAGCCTGCAAGGCCGTTTTATGGAGGTTGTGGTGAAGGCCCAAAGAGAGCGCTGAGCCCAGGGCCGGGGGCAGCTCCAGGGCAGATGGCAGGTGTGGAGTGGCATTTACTGGTGGCTGGCTATGGGCTCAGGTGGGACAAAGCCTGGACTTCACCAGTCCGTGGAAGTGAAAGGAGGAGGAGCAAAGGCAGGCGGGAAGGTGAGTCAGGTTTCGTCAGCACAGATGTGGATGTGACCATCAGAACCCGGCTCAGTTATCTGAATCCTGATCTGCTCATTTCTGGACTTTGTTTGAGCGACAGAAATATAAACTTCCATCTTCTTTAAGTCATTGATATTTTGGAATTTGTTTCTTGAAATTAAACATAAGCCTAATACCAATATTGGAGCTTTTTCCTCACAATAACAATCCCCATTGAAAAGATAACTACTTTATCCCCAGAATGTTTGTAACTTTAAAAGAAGCTTCTTCCCACTCTCAGAATTCCCATATTCAACCTATTTTCAAAGCTTACAGTTTCCCCTTTAAAGGTAACTTTTATATCTGCCTTTCCAGTCTAGCATTCTTGATGGCACGTCTGTCTCCATGGCTGCTCACCTGGCCTAGCATCCCTCTTCTCCATCCCACAGTGCAGACGCTGCTGGGGGCGGCAGTATGATTCCACACACTGCCCTCACTGACAGCCCTACAGCCTGCCCCAGCAGGGTCAGATGCCCCACCTAACTTCCAAGAGCTTTCCAAATCTGGCTTTGACCTATCTGACATTATTTTCCACCTTTAACCAACATGAATTTTAGTTCTAATCAAGCCAATCTTCTTTCTGAAATACTATAGCCATTCCTGGCTCTGCAATTCACTCCACTTACTCTTTCTACATGAAGGATCTTCTCACTCTTCACCTGACTACCATTGATACTTTTGTGTGTATTTAGCTATCAACATCATTCAGGGACTTGAGCAAATTAGTCACCAGATATGAGCAGGTATGACTTGAACCAGGATGAAAATCCAGTAAGGCTACAGCCAAACTCCCAGCCAGAGATGATAAGCAACTTGAAAGCAGAGATCCCTTCCAACACCTCCTCAACATCAACCCCTTCCCCATAGTTCTGAGAAGAGTGATCAATACTGAATCTGTAGAGATTCTCCAAGTGTGGGAAGAAAAATAATGCAAAATGAAAGTGACATCATTTAAAGATTTACAGACAAATAACTAAAACTAAAACTATGTGATAGACTTCCCCACACAAATATAATTGGAGTTAAAAACTAGAATCTAAAACCTCATACCCTTTAGGATGGTTACCATCAAAAAATAGAAAAAGTACACGTGTTGATGAGGATGTGGAGAAATTGGAGCCCTTTGCTCTGCTGGGAATGTAAAGTGGGGCTGCCACTGTGAGAACAGTGTGGCAGTTCCTCAGAAAATTAAAAATAGAATTACCATATGATCCAGCAACTCCACTTCCAGGGATGT